TTAAGATGTAACAGACTTGATTGAAGTTCACATGTAAAATCATGATGGAAATCATTGAATGAACAATTTTTAACCATTAATTGTAATGAACTTACATGGGACATTAATGACGTTATTAAATTCTCCTGTTCTAAAATAAAAAATAATAGAATGTTAAATAAAAATAAACGCTTACCTGGTAATGTTAAATCGATAACATGTAGATGTTGATGATTAAATAATCGTTGTAAAAGTCGAGATGGTTCAAATTTAGCATCGGCAAGTCTTGTTTGCATTGGAGTTAAAGCTTTTTCAATCATATGTTGTACAATTGATGCTTTTGTAAGTAACATATGAGAACGTGTTTTATCATGACAGAGAAATGCTTGAATAATTAATACATACATTTGTTGAAGTTTTGATAGAGAATAATTAAAACGATTTTCAATATCAAAAGTAGCAAAAATAGGAAAAATAATCAGTGATACAAATACAGCTATAGCCATTCCTGTTATATAAATTCCAAGTAATTCAAAAGAAAATGTTATTGGAAGATCTGATCGAGAAAAATTTAAACCAAAATAAATAACATTATATAGTAAAGTCATTTTTTTTGTTGCAACCTAAAATAATGATGATCTGATTTATTTTATATAAATAAATTGAATTATAATTATAATTACCTGAGAACATCCATATGAAATACAAAATGATGTGAATAATAGGAAAATTTCAGTTGCAAGATAGTCATGATAACCAAGGCCAAGTTTTTGAATAAGAAATAAAAATAATGATAGAGGAATTAAAGCTAAAGTTATTCTATAACAACCAGCTAATGTTGATCCAAATGTTGATTGTAAACATAAAATACTTATCATAGGAACAAGAAATTCAAGTGAAAGATGTTGTATTAATTTAGTTTCATACGCAAGAAAACCAGCAATTAAAAAACATATTACATCTTGAATACCAAATTGAATATGTCGCATAAACGTTGTATGAAAACATGAAGTAGTCGATTCAGGATAATGATAATTAAAATAAAAATGACGAGCTGTTTGAGATATTGTAGGAACTGACATTTTTCTTTTCTATCTCTGGATGAACATTCTTTATGTTGTATATGAATATGAAAGAACGAATCAACGAATAGATATATAGTAGTCACGCTTATATAAAGTTAAATAAATAGATATGTGTCTACTGTGCTGTGACCTTTCAATATCTATCTGACAGAGACATCAATTTTGATAGGATCAAGTTGAAAGTCCATTGACATAAAACAGATATGAGTTTATAATTTTTTCATTTTAAATACCATATTAAATTAACTTTTATTATTGTCAATGTTTTATTTATCGTATGATACAAATTTTTAGAACACGTATCCTCATATAATTTGCTGTTTGATAGCAGAATAAAGATTGTGCAAGAGTGTGAGTATTTTATTTATCCACCACGATCACTTTCACTCATATGCTCATTTGTATTAAAGATATATTTAAGATTTTTCGTTTTTTATCTAGTAAAATATTCAATGAAGTATTTCTTATTTCTATGTTTATTTCGATTTACTTTCATTAGCTTAGATACTAAGATAAAATCTGGTTGTTGGACACATAATAGTAATTGAAAAACTACATATATTCACATATTTATCAACTAAAGTAAATTTAAGTTTATTTGAAATAAGAAATTTGTTGATATTATTTCATTTGATTCCTATACAAAAAATATTTACCTTAATTATCTAAGAATATTTTTTCAATGTTTTATATTAAATTGATATCATACATTAAATAAAGGGTATTTCAAAAAATACTATTTAATTGTGATTAATTAATATCTAAAAAATAACACAAAAATAAATTTCTAAATTCTAAAATAACAGGAAACACATTTACTTGAAATATCGAATACTATACAGTTGACATAATAGATGCTCCTGTATAAGTACTTGAAGAATATGTTGTTAAAAGAATTGTATAGTACGAAAGTAAATCAAATAATCTTCACCTAAAATATTTTATTAAAATCTTGATGAAGTTTTCTAATTTAAACGCGAGATTCAGAAAAATATAATGCTACCTATCAAGTAACATGAAATATTCTTAAATATAATTGATATTTACTGACATTGTTAATGAACAATGATTATTATAAATTTCATATAAAAATAAAATTCTAAATACTCAATTATATTCAAAAATAGTACCTGAAACTAATGCCTTCTCTAGAGATAATCAGATAACATTAACTAATTTTCTCAAAATAGGTTTATTAATTTTAGTTGAATCCATTTTATCGACTAAAAGAGAAATCAAAGAAATATTTATTTCAGTAAAATAGAAAATTTGTATAACGATCAATAGTCAATTATTCTTTATTAAGCAAATAGTAATCTAAGAAATATTTTCTTCCTAAATTTGTTATCAATGATTTGTTTCTTTCAATAAAATAAAATCAACAAAAGTTTAATAAATCTTATGAAAAAAGAAAGATATGATATTGTATTTCATTCTTCTTTGATTTAAATAAAAAATCTCTCTTTTGCAGATATAAACAACATTAATTATCTTAAAAATAAAATTAATTTGAGTATATAGTTGTAGATATATGATCTCTACAAAAACAATGTGAAATCAACAATCCTATTGAATAGAATTTTTTTTTTTTATTTTTTTTCTATCATCGATTGTTTCTCGAAAGTATGTAAATAAAATCTTCACGACTAGTAGCTGCAGAATCAGCTTTTTCCCTTGTGCTGTTACTACAAACTAAAACTTCTTTTTAACATTATATAATATAAAAAATAGACAGATTGAAACAAAATTTTACTGTGTATAATTCAGTATATCTTCGCAGTCATATTTGATAAATGAGATGCAATAGTCAAATCATAAGAAATCAAATATGAAATTTGATTATGTCACAACATTGATATAAAATAAGCAATATATATTTTGTTTTTGTTGTTGCTTTATTCTTGTCAACCATTTATGAGTGACTGATCAAATCAGTACCTGGAACAAAAAATGTGCGTTGTATACACCTTGTTGAAGAATGAAAAAAAAGGTATAACCATCGATACGCCCTTCGAAATATTGTACATGTGAAAGTAAAACGTGCAGTAGCGCATCATACGATTACTGGCAATAAGAAATAGATATTTATATAAATAATTGGAGGAGAAAGAGGAAAGAACGTTGCAGTCATCGATATGACCTGTATTGTAATCACATTAAATAAACGACCCTAACAACTGCGTACTTTTCTGCTTTATTTTTTGTATGATATTGAAAAATTTATGAGAGTGAGTAGATATTTATTTAATAATTTTTTACAGAGCATATTATGTATGAATTCGGAATATGTATAATCAGATTAATAATTTTTGTCAAAAAATTATACTAGTAATTTTAATTCTTAAGTTTAATGATATTTGTAATGATGAAAACACTGATTTACAACTTTATTAATAAAAAAATAGCTGCGTCATTGATTATTTCTATGCATGTTCTCTATCTAAGTGCTAGTTACAAATGGTATAATAAAAAATGATCGATTCATCTGAATACCTGGATTTTTGTCATTTATTTCATTGAATCAAGTACGACATTAGATATGCGTGTTAAATAAACGATGACTGGAAGATATATACATGATATTTTGATAAACAAAAATTACTTTTCTGATGACGTAAATGTCAATCTGAATAAAAACAAAAAATACCCCATTCATCATTCTTTTTTTTTGAATCCTATATAAGAACATATTACATTACAGTGATTTAGGTAGTATATTGCAACCATAGGTGTGTAATCCACAGGTAATGTATCATGGAGCAGCACATTTTCTAGAGTTAAGTGGAGAGACGGGATAAAGCCTATACGAGACCGAATTCGTCAGTCACCCAGCGTAAGATCGTTCAAAACTGTTGTTAGATGTCGTTGTTCTACGAGTTTAATTATCGCCAATATTCATTGATCTCTTACTTCCGAGCAATCGACATAATTTATCTTTTCGAGATGACTTATTCGTATAGTGCGTCGTAGATTTGAGAAATTAAAATTCTTTTCATTTTTTAAAATCAATATTCTTGAAAGCTTCTTCTCGTTAAAAAAAGTGAATCTTAAACGATCAAACTGACATGTTTTTGACCGTATTTTATCCGGACTTTCAGTGCTATATTCTTAGAAAACCTAGCTAGATCTATTGGGGAATCTAACATTTTACAGTTTTTCTTATGAGAAAGATCCGCCATAATCCGTTTCGAAACCTGGCCGTTAAGATCCGATGAAATTCAAGTCGAATCCGACTAGTTTTTCTGGAGAAAACACTGGTTTTTGGAGTAATTCGATATAGGATTCGAGCTTTTCAGAGGATTTTGAGTCAGGATTAGATCATCTGTGTATCGTAAGCAGCCTAACTTTGTTTTTCATATCGATTCAAGTATGAGACTAGTTTTTTATTGAGATTTTTATCAATTCTATATGTTTGCACTTCATTTAGATTCTAAAAATCAGTCTGGTGATTTTTCATCTCGAAATACCAATATTAGTCCTGTTGTATCCACTGTTACCATTAGCAAGTTAATCTACAAAATTCTTATCAGCTAATCACGCCAGGTTTTCGTAATGACTCAACTAAATGAACAACTTCGAATTATTGCTCAACCCAAGGCACTCTATCGTGAACGATATGGTAGTGAACATTTTAAAACTGGAAATCGAGTGCAACGTTACATTCGTGCTGAAGATAATCAGCTGAACTTCGAATATCCAACGATAGAGGTGAGAAAAAGCAATACTAATTTCGATTTTGATTACTACAGAGAAGAAAAGCTAGGATCTCCTTCTGAAATTCTATTAGCATTTCTTTAGAGTCTTAGGGGACAGTCTCGAATATTTTTTGGACTAAAAACTAGTATCAAGACAATACGAAAAGTTTCGGGATAGGGTGGACGAGATTCAAGACAAAATATAACAAAAGGTTGTTCGGAAGCGTTTTTTAACTGTGATTTTTCTTAATTAGATACGGCGAGAGTGGAGTGATGCGGCTCTACCTCAATACATTCGGGTAGCTTCCGTCACTGTGCCAACTGATATGGAATCCATCGTATGTGTGCATCCATATCCAATTTATCCTGATGATTTTAGTATTTATAAAGACGCTGATAACAATGCCGTATATTTTCCGATCACAAACGCCGATTTTACAAACGGACGAAAAAGGTACCAAAAAACAACACAAGTGCTTTGTAGTTTTGCTATTTTTATTTGTTCTTTAGTTTCCTCCTTACGCGGAAAAAGTTGCTACAGAGTGCACTCAAATTACACGGTCCCTTACGAATTGTCGGCTCTGGTAAGAAAATAATAATGATAATAAAACTATTTTACTTCTCATTTTAAAGGTCAAAGTCATATTCTTGGTATCATCAAAAAATCCCGCAGCAAACATCTAATTGAAACATATAAGTTGTGGAAATCGCAACTTCTTTTTTCTCGAGTCGAACGCGTCAGTGATGGTATATTTAATCTATGTACAAATTCTTCTGTATTATCACAAGTGATGTCTGACGAAACCAATCAGCAACATAGTAAGTGTATAAAAATAGTTGTCTCTATCTCATTGACATTTTCTATTTTCCTTTTCTAAAGAAGATACTGTTGTTCCGGTCGTCATGCCAAGCGATCATATTGAAAATTGCGGTATGTGTGTACCAGACAAGGGTAACTCGGCAGGTGGCGATACGATTTTGATGGTGCTTAATACACTGAATCGGGACAATCGTAAGTTTTATTTTCAATTTTGTTTTCAATATTTCTTTTATTATGTTTTTGTAGCACTTTGTATATATTTCGATTACGTGGAATTCAATCAGAGAACGAATATTCAATACGAACTAGTTGATACGAAGACAATTGTCTTTCAGACACCGGCATGTTTGATGGATCTCAGTGGGCAAGATCAAACGGTTTCAATTGTTGCTAAGCAGAACGAAAAAGTTATTGCAGAATTCAATTTTCTCTATCTGACACGTAAGTGTGCCACTCATATTTGAACTAAACTCATTATTCTTGTACAGGAAGCATCTCGCCGACAACAAGTATGTGCTCAAGCTGTCAAGAATATACGTCATTGGATTCTATCTCTTCAACGATGAGCAACAAACGATTCTGTTCGGATTTCGATGATTTGCTCTAGGACTAAACATTTTATGCGGAATAGCTGCCTAATTGTAGTTGTAATATAGTTAAAACAATAATTTACTGTAATAAAATATATGTAGAATGTAACTGTGGTGTGGGTGAAATATAGTACTCATATTTAGCCACACCCACACCCAAGTTTTATTTATTCTTTTATATTAAAAATAAACACATTTCAGTATAATGTTCTGAAGATTTGTCTTTTCAAGATTGAGAAAAACAACTGTACGTTGAAATGGCATAATATTTGATAAATCTCTCGGTTTCTTCAGAGACATGTTCTCCTCACAGAAGAGGATAATAAAATATGCTTCTAATCATGCACAGCGGCTCTAATTGCGTAATGAATCGTTTCATCACGAAGTTACATGAGAAGAAGAAGGTATCTAACCGTATGATACCGACGGTATCTATTGAAAAGACATCATTAACACTTTGAAAACTATATTTAATGTTATATAGGAGTAATGGTATGTGAAGTAATGTGAACTGATGATGATGAGCTCTCAAGCAAAGATCCTTTCCCTCTATTTATGTTTGCTAATAATTGCGCTTAACAATTAGTTCATTGCAGGTAACAAAAAACATTCTTTTTTTCATATTAAAATTTATTTATCTTTATTTTCTACTACTAACAAGTCGCTCCTTAACATTCTGCTGCATATATGGATGTATATGGCAATACAACTTCGATCATTATTAACTGTAAACTCACAGATGATCTTGACTATGATATCTTCTCTATGTATCATATTTTATTTATTCTAAGTTGTATTACTGTTCCACTAGGAATTTTACTCAACATCATTTTCATTATAACTTTTATCTTTCGAGCGAAACAAGTATTTCATGTACAGAGTCATGCACTTTTCTTGAGCTGTATGGCTCAAATATCACTTGCTATTTTTCGAGGACCTTTAAGACTTTATTTCTACCGTTATAATGGTTGTTTACCTGTAGCTGGTACTCCATTATGCCAATTTAATGTTTATCTTATCTACATTCCAACTCAAATCAATAATTTTCTTGTTGTTCAACTTTCCATTGAACGTTTGTTGCTTGTTGTCAAACCTTTGATATTTCATCAAGCTCGTCATCAGAACTGTTCTCGGGCTATTTTTATTCACTATATCGGTCTCTTCGTAGCTATTGTCTTTCCCTGTTTTTATTATCCGATTATTATGCAGCATGGAGCAGCGACAATTGATCTTAACAATCCTTCGATAACTCAAACATATGATCTCTGGTATTCACAAGAGATTTATGAATTATTTGATTTACTAATTACATTTGTCCCATATTTTCTTATTTTAATTAGCTGTCTACCCTTCATTGGTCTTGTTTTATATCGCAAATATGCTCTAGGTTATCGGCAAGGCAGACAAGTTGGTACACGAAATCATCATCGCCTTCTTTTTTCTCTTCATTTATTTCTGTTTTGGTTTCTTTTAACATGGTCACCTAGGATTCTTTATAACTTCTTTCAAACTATCTTGAACCTAACCTATTCTGTTTTTATTGACGCAATTACTACATTCATTGTCTACCTGAATTATACTTTTAGTTCAACAATTGTTCTAATCACATTCGAAGAAATGCGCCAGTTTTGTTTTGTTAAGTTTGGTTTTCAACGGATACTTTCTTTATTTCAAAACCGTATTGAACCAGGTCAGCCTGTTCGTTATGTGGCAAGAAATCAACATATAATTCATGCTCTATAGTGAAGAATGTGAGTCTTCTCTCGAAAAGGGTATGAGTATGAGTGTTAGTATTTTCTCTTTTCCACACCCACATCCTCTTTGTTTTCTTGTTTCCTATAACAGCTGTTTACTATATATATGTACGGTGTTTTTTTTCTACATCCCTGAAGATGATAAGAGTTCTTATCGAAAGTTCGAATAAAGTTTGATTTTTTATTTAAAATCTATTATGTTTTTTGTAGCAGTTCTATATTCAATTATTTACAAATGGCTAATACTCGTTGCTTTTAATTTATATTCATTCTACCAAAAAGCACGCATAGATATCATGCAGCAGTTTGCATCACGTCACGAAGAGCACAATTAGATCCAGCAGGAAAAGAAGACCTTAAAAAAGAGATAGTTTTATTTATTTTCTTTTATATCACAGATATTAAACTATACAAATGATTTGGATCCTTTAGCTTCCAAAACTGGAATCAGAAAATGACAAACTTGAGAGCGACTTAGATGAAGCAGGAAAGCGTAATTTTGCTGCAAATCAAATTGAAGGTGATTTACTAGATCTTGTGAGGGAGATAAAAAAAACAAGACAACTAGCAGGTGTGGAATAACTAACGAAACAAGACGATGGGTAAATCGAGTAGTATTTTGAAGTTTTTCATTTACTGCTCTTTTACCTTCTTTATTGTGAATAATCAATGAATGTGTGTTTTTTTCGTCACTTACTAACATGTACACTAAAAATCATTCGTATGAATTTATTTGAAACAAATAAGAAGAATGAAATAAGAATGTCATCAAAGATTGATATAGCCTTCCATATCTATAGTACTGAAGTAACACTATTTGCATGTTATACAATTGTTCTTACAGAAATTGGTACATGTTGTTCCGACACATACTAAGACCGTCACTAAGCCAAAAATAGGACACTGTATTTGATGTATTGGACTATTATTCTTGTTTTATCACAAAACTTATTTCTTGAAAGAGAGTGGATGTGAATCTTTTCTCTCTGAAAACCATACCTACACCCTATTTTGTTGTAATTCAATATATGATTCTGACGCATCTAATATATTTTGATTATGATCGATGCAATAAAATTATTCACCAAATACAATAAATCCAAAAAGTATAACAAAAACAATATATAAATAAGTATATTTCTTTGTAACTACGAATGCGTGTGAATATAAATATAGAGCTAATAAGATACTCACACCCACCCTCAAGGTACGAGCAAAACAAATGACACAAGTATTTTTTCGGAAGACTTTTCATGTAAATACTAATATATTAAGAATATTTTCAATCATACCAAACAATAAGAGAACAAAGTTTACTGACAAAGATGAAGATGAGCTAGACATGTTACTTATGTAGAGAGATATTTATTAATATATATATTTATAGCAAACCGGTAACATTAAATGCAATAGCGAAAGATCTTATTCACGATATGATGATTTTTTAATTTACATAAAAATCACTATGAGAAAATAGAGAAAAAGAAGGGAAATTAGTTGAAATAAAATATAATGTTTATATTGTTAAAATAGTCATTGACTAGTTTTTCTCAATAGAAAAGGCTAATCTACTTCTTTTTTACTAGTTTGACATATGCTTTTCATCAGTCATCATTTTTATTACAATCTATAAAATAATGAAAACTACAAAGATGTTTACTGTTTAAATGAAATACGTGAGTAAAAGTATCTTCTATACCTACATTCACATCCATCCTTATATAAGATATTTGTAGTTCTGCATCATTATTCAAGATAGCTTTAATGTCTTCTTTTAAATAATTATTAATAAAATAATGAAAAATTGATCGCATCATTTTGTTTTGAAAAAGATATTTCTCTTATTTGAATAACGAATGTACATTTATTTATTTCTAAATTTTCTAAGAGTGTCGGTGTACATAGTTAATGAACATCCACCAACACCCCATCATTTTTATAATAAATAAAAATATTTTCTTCTACGTTCATATTATCTTAAATCATAATTCGAATATGTTACAATAATTTGTATATTCTTAATACTCATACTATGAAACAATCAGAAATGCTTTTCTTTAGCTATTTATATTCAAATGGATAAACAAGATCGATTATGTGAAAACAAAATTTGTTATGATCTTCAATATAATTGAAATATTACTTTATGTCATTATATTTGAATATAAAAAATATAAAAGAATCTTATGTTTTTTAAAATTTAATCGAGCAATGACGCAATACTGAGAATATATTGTATAGGATATTAAAATACAATTACATCTAATGAATTAATATATATCATTTGAAAAGTAATAATATAACCTCTTGATCAATAACCACTGGTTAAACACATATCTAATTCAATTTTCAATAGTAAATTCATGAATTATGTATTGTTTCGAATTTTAAATATTTATTGAAAATTTAAATCAATACGTCATGGTGTTTTTTTAGCAAACATAGTACTACTTCTTACTGAATATATAAATTTCAATGCTAATGTTAATGATAATTAAAACTAAATATGAAAAAATAACACTTCATTTTCTATTTTTCTCCAATCAATTTTTCTTTTTATATATAAAGAATTAATCTCTTCTCTTGCTCACTATTACGTCTACTTGAGCAATAGCTAACAATGTGAGAGTGCATAGACTGAATTTAAATTCGAGTCATTCATTCTGAAAATTCAAACGTTAATATATCATTTTTTAAAATAATCTCCTATTTTCTACAGATTTTCAATATGAATATTACTGAATATATCATCAATTAGATTGTTTGCCAAAAAAATAGAATAAATTCAAAAAAAAAAAATAACTGTTTCTTTTATATATACACTAACGAAATATTTCACTGATAAAATATCTTAAGTGATTTAAAAGTGCAAAGCAAGCTATTGACTTTTTGTACAGTTCACAGCATGATAGATGATGAGCTTTATTTATCCATTCATTGTTGTTGATGATGTCTCTTATAGATATCTTCCAGCTTGTTATTATTGTTATTATTATTATTGGTCAAGCAATTTATGTGTACATATATTAACATTTCAAGCTGAACATTCCATCAAAACATA